GGTGACTGACTTTTGGAGTTCGGGTCTTCTGCATGTGATGGTGTGAAGGAATCTTGGGAGACCTTCCTTTCTGTTGCCAACCAAATTCGGCTGACGATAGACGAATTCCGCGCAGACTGCCTGCAGCCGTGAGTGGCACCTCCCCAAGTTGAGTAAATCGGAGACTTGGAACGAAGACACCAACAACTCACCAGGATATCTGGTGTCTAGAGACGGTGTCAATTCCCAAACTTTTCCGGTCCATTCGCTTCGTTCTTCGTCATCCTCCTTGGCAAGGTATTGCCCAACTAGACACTTTTCTTGGAAGGGAGGGTCATGGTGTGCGAGGTATCCTGCAATTTGAAGCAGAAGTTCAGAAGGTAGGGCCTCGAGCTTTGCGATCGGAGAAGTTGATGACAAAGTCTGTGATGACATTTCGCTGTTAATCAAGGCTGGTTGAGATGATGCTTGGTTGTTGCTTTGGGTTGATGTTTTGGAACGATGTGGGTCTGTGGCTTGTCAAGGAACCTGACGACAATCAGGACGTGTTTATATCCATGGTAGGAAGGCAAAGGTCTTGGGGGCTTCATTCAAGAATGCATTCGTGATACGCAAATAACGAGGCGTCTTGGCTGCAAGTTGTTTCCGGACTGAGCCACTGAAGCAATAGACTCCTGCTGTTACTCGCCCTTGTTCGCCACACAAGGGCCATGGATTAACGCACAATACTGTTGTTAAAGTACCATTGCTCGGTGACTGAAAGAACCTCGTTGCGAAGGCCGTGTGTCTGGAACCGCAAGTTCTTGTACAATACCTTTATGTTTAACGTCATGGGCTCTAACATGTTACTTGTCCATGCTTCAGATACACTTGCAAAAGAAATAAACATGGAAAATACCCTTCAGAGAATGTTGTTGTCAATCAACTAGCCATAGTGTAGATTTCTTTTCGCAGCCCTGTTGTTGCTAATAATTACTTGCATTAATTACTTGTACTCACTGATTGTGAGAGGAAGGTGAGAGGAAGCTTGGCTTGGGACTTGTTGAAAGCGTTGCTGGCTTGTAAGTCCATAGATAGAGTCTTCCTATCCGGGCCGATACTTCTAACTGGGCGGGTAGCAGATGTATAACGATAGGGATAATACGATAAAGATAATAACGCCGACGACGACGACGACAATAACGGCGATGATGACAATAACGACGACGATAATGATAGAGATAGAGAGATAGATAGGAATTGTGACGAAAGTAGTAAAAGTGAATTGAGGATAAAATCAACAATTAGACCTAATATAGGTAGTTATCTGCCCGGTTGGCTAGAAGTATCCGCCCAAGTAGCAAGACTCCATTGATGATGGCTGAGATAACGAGTACGCAGGGTTGTGAGTTTGGGGATCAGATGACACTTGTGTGATGTCTTGACATAACTAAAACTCAAGGCGTGGCTTGATCCCAAGCCTGAGAGGCCAATCATACGCATACCTAAATGCAATGTATTACGGCTGCTCGGCTTTCTCATGCTTGACCCTCCTGTCTTCATCAACGTAACCGAGCTACGGATGATCCAAGGATGGGCTGATGAAATGTCACCATCCACACTTTTTGCTGTGGCAGGGGTGGTGTTCTCTGTCTGTTACAAACCTAAAAACTAGTCATGTGCAGTTGCGGGTTGTTTTACCCCAACTGTATAAGACCTCGGGAAACCGCATCAATGCCGACCTGAGCAACATGTTTTGACCCCTCATCCTAGATTGTCCATCTATTTCGAGGACCCGACGAGAAAACAGAAAAATGCAGCTGACATATCCTGATATTGTCCGAAGGCTCTACGACCTCGAGCGTCTTGCGGAACCGCCCGAGGCGGAGGAGCGTGGTGGGTGCATGTCGAGCTATGACCGTCGCTCTCGGTACGACCCGGAGACCGACACCTACATCGACTGGGATGCAAATGACGATGGCCGAGGCATCATTCGCGAGGAGGGAGAATGGGTTGTCGCTTTCGAGCAAGAAGGCCCAGGAGTCATCTGGCGGACATGGTCTGCGATGCCTGATATGGGACGCATCCAGGTCTTCATCGACGACAGAGACAATGAGAAGCCGGTGATTGACATGCCATTTCGAGATTTCTTTGATCGGTTTCAAGGCATGCCGCTCAACTTCCCTTCAATTGCACCGACCTTGTCACGCGGCCGCAATTGCTTCATCCCCATCCCCTACAATAAGTACGCAAAGATTCGTCTTGGTCCCGGCTGGGGAGCTTACTATCACTTCACGTACACCAAATTCCCTAAAGATACGAAAGTGCCACGATTTGATGGGAATTTTGACCGAGAGGCTTGTCTAGCGCTCGCCGCTGCTGATCGCGAACTTGGCCAGCGTGGATGGTCCGCACTTCCACGATCCAAAGGTGACACCTTGGAGACCCTTACCGTTACCATCCCGCCTGGCAAGACACATGCCGTCCGGGAGATCATTGGAAACAGAGCTATTACTGGAATGCGGGTTGTTCCGTTGGATCTTCCAGATTCTCACCAAGAAACTGCTCAAATCTTACGCGAGCTGGTTTTCCAGATCATATGGGACAACGACAAGACCCCGAGCGTTTGGGCACCACTCGGAGACTTCTTTGGAAGTGTCCCTGGTATTCAGACATACCGTTCTTTGACCCAAGGTTCAACGGACGGTGGCGGCTTCTACAGCCACTGGTTCATGCCGTTCTCCGACCGTGCTCTTCTCAAGATTACAAACGATGGAAAGAAAGAGGCAAAACTCTTTTTAACAATCTGCCACCGTCCGCTCGAGAAGTCTGCAAAGGACATGCTACGGTTCCACGCCAAGTGGCACCGAGATGCCTTCCTAGAGCGACCCATCAGCCAAGGAAGAGACATTGACTGGCCACTCCTTATCTTGGACGATGGCCCTGGCCGTTTCTGTGGAGTGCAGATGCATGTCTGGAATCACTGGCAAGAACCAAAAGTGCCGGCCAAAGACTGGTGGTATGGTGTCGGCGGCGAGAAGTCAATTGATTGGTGGTGGGGAGAAGGAGACGAGAAGTTCTTTGTTGACGGCGAAAAGTTCCCGTCAACCTTCGGAACAGGGTCCGAGGACTACGTTGGCTATGCGTGGGCGGCCGAACCGCCCTTCCCAACCTTCGACAGTGCCTACGCTTGCCAGCCCTACGTGGAACTGGACGCCAATGGTCACACCTCTGTTTGCCGCTTTCACGTATGCGACGATGTACCGTTTCACAAGAGCTTTGAGGCGTGCATCGAGAAATACAAACCAAACAATTGGGGGCCTGGTAACGACTGTCTGTACGCTGTGGTGGCTTACTGGTATCAGAGAGCGGGCGGTTCGGACGCTTACGAGAGTGTGCCTATGAAAGATCGCTACGTCGATCGCCTTGGGCATTCCGATCATTCGGGCAAGGCGAAGGATGGTGGAGAAGACTTATAAAGGGCTGAATGATGCAGGATCTTGGAAATAATCGTATGCTTCTACTTGATTGATCCAAAGTAGTCAGTGGATTACGACGCTCCTCTGTTCTATTTGCTGTCTTATCCTTAGTGCCCTTCAAACTTTGGAGTTAATACTTCAGACTTTATTATTCTCGCCTGCAAACGATGTAAGCGTAGGCCGGTGGGCGCACTTTCAGCGCCCTCAAAAGACACAAGGCGGGGGCCGGGAAACTTTAAACTCCGTGAATTAGGTGGCCTGTCCTGGTCACCAGGGAAGCCTTGAACGCTTTATCCGTCGAAGCATCCATATCGGATTCGGTTGGGTCGGCAGAGAATATCTATTGTCAAGTTTTAGCACGACTCGGTTTCCGAACGACGCTCGGAATCGCGTGCTAGCTTACGTTGCAACGGTCCCACCGCAGATGAGGGCGCCGTTCAGACGGTTCTCAAGATGAAGACACCACTGAACAGATGATGGGTTTCATCCATCACCCGTACCATACACACCTGTCCAACTTTCTGGAACCTGGAGTCTCATTGACAGGGGTTGGCCTGCTCCGCATAGCCAAGTGAGGAACAAGCTTTTCAACGACGACCTAGGTGACGCTTGTGTGACGGATAATAGCCGCGCGGATGGGGCCTTCAAAGCTTAGCCTGGGAGCGAAGGGGAAACAAGGAGCGCTTCAATTTGTCAAGGGCCACGCTACGCGGTGCACCCCTCCTGCTAGCCGGTGCACCCCTCAGTGGCTAGAGTGTGGCTAGGCATGTGCAAAGTCCGCTGCCACACTGCTTTACTAGAGGCTCTCATGTAAGTCTTGCTCACTCTGCCCTCTACCCTCTGGCCTGCCCTCTATAAGTGAGGCCTTAGAAGCAGAGAGAGAGCCAGCTAGCAGAGGGTAAGCTAGCATATAAGTAGCAGAAAGTAGGGTAGAGACAAGTGTTTTCACAGCAACACAGAACTATCGCAAGCTCCTAAGCAGCCAATCGCCAGTAATTACCTCAGCGTCAAGCCACCAAAGGGTGCACTAGCTAGCAGGAGGGGTGCGCCGCGGAGCGTGGCCCTTTGTCAATTGCTCTGGAGAGAGCAAGGATGAGCCTAGACGTGTACAATGAAGCGGACATATCCAGTCCTGAAGGTTTGCCGTTCGCCGAAGTCATGACAGAAGACGGGGTGAGAGTTGTAGGGGGCGGGCATTTTGTGAAGGGCCGCTCAGCCAGACGGGATGGACGGAATAGGAACGTTTCAGCAGAAAAGTCAATATCATGAGTTGAACCCCAGCTTGGTCTCAATTCTGAAACGGTCAAATGTACATCGACATCTCCCATCAACTTGCGATAAGACTCAGCCCCTCAACTCTAGTCCATATACCCTTGACAATGAGTTGACGGGCCAGTTCCTAGTTCAAGGTTGCGGACAGGAGGATGGAAACTTCGATTACGCCAGCAACCCTATCGTGGGCAGCGTTACTATGTATATAGGATGAAGGACAGCGTGCCGACACTCTCTTCTACTGCCCCGGGCAGGAAATTTCATCCCTCCACAGATGGCCGACTTGCGATCATGATATCGACGAAGAGGTTTTCAGTGCAAGCGAGAGAGGCACGCATCGTGTACTTGAGCTGCTTGAGCTGTTTGGTAGTATTGGTGGTTTTCTTTAGCCTTAACCTATGGCCGCAATTCGATTTGGGCTCTCTTCACTTTACCGAGGGCCACTCGAAGACACAACACGACTACCAGGCGACGCACGGTACCGATGGCGGAACGAATAAGACCGACGATGGCGAGTCTCTATCACTCATTCCAAGTCACTCAACAACAGCAAAACCGGCCGGACTAAACGGTTTAAAATATGCCATTATCCTTCCAACATATGTAGGTTCTCTTCGCGGTGAGGCACTGGCACTGAGTACCTCTGGACTAATACCTTTGGCATTTAGACAAAACATATACCGCTAGCCATCGAGTTCTTCCAATCATTCATGTGCCTGTGCACCGACTACCAAGAAATCGATATCCATGTTATCGTATCCGACTCCAACGAGGTGAAGGAGTTCCAAGATGCCCTGAACGGTCTGAATAGTTGTGGCGAAACATTCAGCATATTCCGAACACCACCGGCGAACATTAACGGACCGAAACCGAAATTCAACATCGTGAATCTTTTCGACATATTGCCGCCAGTTTTTCACACTTTGACTAAAGGCAAAATCACGGGCGCAGACACATCGGCGCTGATAAATGAACGTAACAAATATCAGTACCAAACAATCAAAAAGATGGCCGCGGCTATGGAAATCAAGTATGACTGGGCACTGTGGTTGGACTCTGAAGCCATTGCCGTGCAACCGTTCAGCATAAGGCAGACTTTCGACAGTTACATTAAGAACCCAACCATATTCAGGTCTAAAATGACCAACACCGACTTCATGCGAGCCATTATAGGCAGCTCTGCGAACGTTCTGAATCGGGACATTGAGTCGTTTGGGCAGAAGTTCTGGAACTTGGAGAGGTAGGCAAGATTCGCGGACCTAACTGCCAACCACACCAACTAACTCGTTTCTTCTCTCAGCGTGGAGTGGATATTTGAGAAGGCAGTCATCGACGATCTCGTTCAATACGTGGAGAACACCCATAACCAGGACTTTTGGACTGCCTGGGCCACTCGGGGTTCCCCATTCGAAATCAGTCTCTACAATATGCACGTTCAAGCACGGAAGCTGGAGACAACCAACCCAATGTTTACGAAGTATCAGATCATCGAAACGGAAACAGAGATGGAGAGGTTCGGCATCGGTAAGTGACAAACGTTTGGCTACAGCGCGGAATCCGGGTCTCAAGCTTATAGCTGCTAACATGGCTTGTTCACTAGGAGCGGCGAGGGCGATCATGGACACGATGACTGGCACTGGCATGCTCGAGAGAGGCTACGAACTCTTTAAGGTAGCAGAAGTCGTGCCTGGCTTCTCCGCAATGCTGAAGAAGTTCGGACAACGCCTATTCCGGCTGGATGACCTCGGTATCGCCCCACCAGAAGTAATCGACAAATTCCTCTTGGACACACCAATAGACATTTTGTGCTCAGGTGCACCTCCACTACACAGTTGGTGGGAGGAACGAAAGAAAACCATCAGATAGCGTCATGAATAAAATACCCCTTTTCATTCTGTACAACGCAAAGGCCACTCATGCGCACAAGGATTGTGAAGTCTTCACAACCTTAACGTGACTCGGCCATACCGAGAGTACTAACGATTACAATTAGAGTTTCCCTGTCACCCCCTTCAGGTCCTCGCCAACACACTCTTCTGGTAGGTCCAGCGCAGCTCCCCGCCTTACATCCCAGGAGCTATCCTTCGTGCCGGGAGCTGTCCTTTCGCAAGTGACGAACTTAGATATCGCCTCAGCACTGGAGGGCAATCCTAGAAAGTTGACCAATAGTGCTGTTACCCGCCGTTGCCGCGCCAGTCACATACAGAATCGTCTCAGGTTGAAATCTGTCCAAAGCCACAGAGGACGCTGATCCCAGAAAAGGCGAGGATGCGAGAATGCTCTTTCCACCCTGAATTGCATCAATTCTAAGAACCTCTTGAGGACCGTTCGTGGCAACATAAGCCCATTTCCCGTCCTTTGACAGCGTGAAGTCGTCGCCAAAGGTGATGTTTGAGGCTAGAACCTGGACAGGCCCAGCTGCCGACCCATCGGCAAGGGAGATGGGAAGTTTTGCGAAGAGACCCTGGTCCAAGCTCACGAAGAAGAGGTCGCTGCCGCGAATACGAATGCCATTAACGCCGATGCTGAGACCGGTAGACAACGGGGCCATTTCAGGCTCCTTGAGAACCGTATCGAAAACTCCAGTCTCGACATCAAGACGGTAGACCGTCCCCGCGCTTGAATCCGAAATGAGAAGGTTCTTCGTATCGTTCGCTGCCAGACGGGTCATGCCGTTAAGCTGCCTTGCTGAGGGGATGCGTTGGACCAATGAAACCTCGGCAGGCTGGATGACAGTGCCATTTCGGGAAACTTCGAAGTTGCGGAGATTAACTTTCCACACTCCGTTAGAGTTCTCAGTCGACGTCAGGTTCGATCCAACGACGTAGAAGGAGTCGTGCTTCATCTCGGAGATTCCAAGAAGACCAGTAACGCCGTCTATGCTGGCAACAGGAATCGGAGGGTGTTCGTTTGTAGGAGACAACTGGTGTAAAATAGGCGATGAAATGGATGCGACGAGGATGTTGCCATTGCGTCGGACTGCGAGGTTCTCGAGTGTTGTGGTGCCAGGCACGGTATGAACCGACGTCACGTTCGCCGTCTTGCCGTTGCAATAGCTGTAAGGCAGAGACTGGACTGATGCAGCCAGAGAGAAGACGGCGAGCCCGAAGGCAGGGAGAACAGTATGCAGAACAAACATGGCTGGGAGATCTCTGGTTGAGCAGGCTTCAGGGGTAAGACCTGACCCGAGATATCAAGTCTGGGGAGTACCGGCTTTTATGGCATGAAGCCGCGGTATCGACAAAGAAGCACTAAGATCCAAAAACCTTGTCAAGAGATATCAGGTATCCACACGAATCGCCATGAGCTGGTCGTGAATTGAACTCTGAGCAAGATGACATGAACGGTGTTTGCACCTTAAGTCCGAGCCCTCAAGGTGCACACGATTCAATGGGAGGCGTTCACAGCTCACCACTTGGTGTTGTTTCTACAAAATTTGTTTCGTTGCAACACAATATTTACCCTACCGGCTAAAGCGAGCCGCCACGAAAGCTTTAGTAAAAAGAACCAACTCCTTCGGGGCGAAATTGCCGAAACATAGTAATCAAGGAAAACATCTAGCTCCGCGCTTTCCACCGCATCCACGGGACAAGGCGAAAAGAACCAAGATAGAATAGTCCAGCACGTTCCGTAGTCAGTGCAATAGACGTTTTGGTCCGTTAGATAGGAGATCACCCAGTCTTTTTGTGTCTGCGCGGCTTTCCTGTGGCCGCAATTACTCCTGTTGAAGACGATAATAGCGATAGCGATGACGACGACGACGACGACGACGATCGAAGTTACAAAGGCAACGATCGTAAGGTAGAATTTAGCCACAAGAAAAGTAGTCGCTCTAGCACAGGGAAGATAGGCGATCTCGTTGAATAGGTGCTTAGGGGCTTGATGCCCTTGTCCGAGCTGACAGTTCAATGTCAATAATGCGTCCACAGAGCTTTGCCCGCCCAAAATGGGTGCATTGATTTTCATGGGCCCTTAAGTATCGTCTTGAAACTGGAAACAGTCATCAATCCCTACAGGATGGCGACTTTCATGTCGGACTGTGAAACTGCAATCCTCATCGTCGTACATCTGTGATCACAGGGAGAAACTCAGTAAGAAATCTACGTAGTGGAGGGACGGCAAGAGGGGCGGTTTTCAACCCACGTTTCCTGGGAATCCGCATCGTTACTATGATACAGGAGACCTTACACACGTGCGTTTACGAGATCTTGGGGCGGGTAGTGACCTCGACTACCTCAGTTACTCATAACGGACAGAAGACCTACCAATGACTTCAATTGCAGCGAATACATCATCGATATTTCCATCTTAAGTCCATGTCAGCGGGGACAAGCTCTAAATCCGGTCTTCGAAAACATTCTACTTGGTGATCCGATTCATGGGCCCCACTATGTTTGCCGCCGGGTGGTCCCGATGCCGTGTTTTGTGGCGCCGGTTTGCCAGGTTGTCAGCGACCCGCATCTTAACGCCGGAATTCCGTCAGTGCATCGTGGCGCTTTCTCATTCACCCGCGCGCTGTACGTCATCACGAGAGTCTCAATCGTACAAGTTGTTATGATATATAAAGAGGTCTAGTTGCCAAGCTTCACTGTCTATTTGGTTCAGTAAAGAGTTTGGTACACGCGATTCAATAATCAGATTCAACTATCAAACGGCACTAAATCAACCAATCAAAATGGTCAAGACACTAGCTTTCGGAGACGTTGAGGTCCCTTCCCCTGGCTTTGGTGCCATGGGAATCAGCTTTGGTCTCGGTTCCAACTTGAGTCTTGAGGAGGCTGAGCCCGTGCTTCTGAAGGCAATTGAGCTGGGATGCACATTCTGGGATACTGCTGTAAGTGTCACTTAAGTCTTTGCAGTTGCAGTTACGGGCTCTGATCATTGTTATCCAGGTGGTCTACCAAGCAGGTGTCAACGAGAAGCTCCTTGGAGAGTTCATTAGAAAACACAACGTCCGCGATAAGGTTTTCAGTAAGTCCAAGAGACTCGTCAATTCGGACTGAAACTAATTGTTTGCAGTCGCTTCCAAGTGCGGTTTTGATGTGTTTGGAAAAGGTGGAGTGACCAACTCTGCGTCCCACATCAAGCAATACATCGAGGGAACCATTGAGAGACTTGGCTTTGCCCCCGACCTCTACTACCTTCACCGCATTGACCCTAGTATGTCACTCTGTCCAAGTCTTTTAAATTTCTAAGCTAACTCGAATACCAGACACGCCACTCGAGGAGTCTATCCCTGCACTGGATGAGATTCGCAAGGCGGGAAAGACGAAGTACATTGGCTTGTCCGAGTGCTCAGCTGCGACATTGCGCAAGGCCAACTCTAGTGAGTTTCGGTATATCTCATACAAGATTCAATCGAAGAAGCTAACAACACGCAGTCGCCAAGATTGACGCAGTCCAAGCAGAGTACTCGGCCTTTGAGACTCTCCACGAGACCGACGGACTCATTGAAACTGCCAAGGAGTTGGGCGTCGCATACGTCGCCTACAGCCCTCTGGGTCATGGCTGGCTGGTCGACGATTTCCCTTTCAAGAGCCCCGACGACTTTGCCCCGGATGACTTCCGTCGCAGTGGTTAGTTGCCTCGTCTGAAGTGACTACTGTATGTGCACCGTGCTGACATTGGTTGAAACAGTTCCCAAGTTCCAGGGAGAGAACTTCTACAAGAACAAGGCTATTGTCGATGAGATCAAGAAGCTTGCAGACAAGAAGGGCTGCACTCTGCCCCAGATTGCCCTCGCGTGGGTTGCTGCTCAGGGCATGATTGCCATCCCCGGTACAACGAAGGCCAAGAGGCTCGAGGAGAACTGGGCGTCTAGAGATGTTGAGTTGACAGAGGAAGAAAAGAAGGAGATGAGAAGGATTATTGACGCTGCTAAGCCTCATGGAACTAGATATGGTCCCAGTCACCAGGCTCTGGTTGGGCACTAAATTAGGCTGTGGAGTGCGCAACCAACCTTTAGGTGTAAAATGAATGAAACTTTTCACTAGTGTTGTTCGGCACTTTCAGACAAGACCAGCTTTACCAAAGCATAGCGACTTGGACCACCTTTTCTCTTCCAATGGCCTTTCTAGAACATTGATGTTCGTTTGCCTGCCGGAATTATTACTCATCGGAGCCGTCCGTTCCCTAGCGTTGTCGTACTCGGGCAGAATGATCTATCGAACTCTATTTTAGTTAGGCTCGTCGTTGAATCTTTCGCTGATAGGTGATTAATCTGAAACCGTCGCGACGAGTCTAAATCTAGCCCTCAGACGATAAGAAAGGATTGACGAAAAGTCCGCTGTTCACAACACAGTTCTTCATCACAATATAACCTTCTAGAAAATTTTCGAATGCCTTCCTTCCCAAACGCGAACGGCGAACATGCCGCCCAAAGTAGCTCATCCTACTGCAGGGAAGGCGTCTTCCAGAATACGACAAGCATGCGATATCTGCCATACCCGCAAAATTAGATGCGACGGGCGTCGTCCGTGCATGAACTGTCGGTTGGCGAGGGTTGACTGTACTTACAACGCCGTGCCCAAGAAGACCGGACCAAAAGGGCCACGACTTAAGCGTAAATATCATCATCGGGCGGCGACTTACTCCAGGTTCGGCAACTAAGTCGGAGTGAACAGGTTCCGACAGTGCTCGAACTACGGAAGCCGCATCATGGAGCGAGACTCAGGTCGAATTTCGGCCATCGCCTCTGGTTTCAGCCGACCTGTTCAGACGATATCTGGACGTTTACTTCATACGAAAATATCCCATCACGCCCATATTGGATCGCAGTTGCATGGAAGAATGCGTCTCGACTTATTCCGAGTCACCCGAAAAGTATGGGTTGTTGACATCGTGCTGTGCAACTATAGCTTTGGATTCAGAAGTATTGTTGCAAAAGTTTGAACCGACACCAGCACATCTGTTATCGTCTGCTCAACTCAGCGTAATTCTTCCAACACCCGAATTCTTCGTACAAGAAACGCTCCGTGCAAGACGGCACATTCATCTTGCCGAGAGTCTATCCCTCACGCACATCTACACGTCATTCTTTCTCTCGCATGCTTTCTTCTGTCTCAATAATGGGAACGCCGCGTGGGTTTACCTCAGAGAGTCTGTTACAATTCTGCAAACGCTCCGGCTCCACGAAGAAGCAACATACAGCGAAATCAGAGATCAGACCGTGGCTACATATGCTCGACGGATGTTTTGGACACTCTTCGTCACGGAACGGTCCTTCACAATACAGCGAGAAAGACCTCTAACGCTACTACCCACGATAAACCTGCCCGAAGTCGACCCTCTTAGTCCTGACGCCGAGATTCTGGCAGGATTTCTTGATCTTGTTTCGCTTTTTCTTCCATTTGATTTCGACTTTATCACCACTATGAACCTACCTATTTCTCCGGCGTTGAAAACGGCAAAGGCAGGGCAATTCAGGCGGCTGCAAGACAGACTGTCGATTTGTCTCGCCAAAATATCGCACTATCCCGAGGCACAGCAAGCAGACTTACTAGTCACACGAGAGTGGCTCAAGATCATCGTCTGGAAGATTTGCGTGTCAAAATCCCTACTATCAAGCAGCACAAATAGTAGAGATAGCATGTCGCTTGGCTATCCTTCGTCGATAGCCCGCGAAACCGTGCTCATTTCTCGTCTACTGCCGTCAAAGGCCTTTGAGGCCAACGGAGTTGCCATTTTAGAGAAAGTATTTGACGTGGGATGTTCACTAGCTGACGTTCTTTCACTTAATCCACATCCGCCAAGCAGTGTGTGGTCAGCAATGGACGTTGGCCCAATCGATGTCTTGGTGGAAATTGTCAGAGTAGCAGGCACAAAATTCGGCGATGGCTACCAGCATCTGCGAATACTGGTAGATAAGACATATCGCTGTGTGCTGATGAATGTTGATAGAAGTCTACCCTTGCCAACAAATGCATCACGAGTAGAAGCAGAAGAGATAGACTGATCAGTGCGGAGAATAGCTGCATGCTAATCTGAACAACATCGCGCATAAAATTAATGTCAATATTATCTGCTGTTCCAGGCCCTCAACTAATAGTATTCTCGTCTTAACCGCTGCGATCACAAAAGTGACATCTTATACAGGCGGAGGTGCTTGCTAGGGCGCCGTGGATACATAGCTACCAATTATCATTACCCATGGAAGGATGGGGACAAATGACGTTCTAATGCGCACCGTTTCTTGTGTTGACCTTCTCTCCGTATGCTCTTTAAGATGGTTTCCCTCAGATTGTTCCCGGATATTTTAGAAAAACAGTTTTCTTCGTGTGTTTTCGAATCCTGCAAGCTTGTTGCCTCCAAGCCTCCTTCACACACCCACAGCCTTTGTTGATGTTGCAGGGAGAACTGAATCAGCTAGGGTCGCTGCGGATGTTTCGTTTGAAATACTTCTAGTGATGTTTTCGGGTTCTTTACTGATATGAAACATCAACTGGTAACTCAGGCTCTGCAGAAACTTAGCGGAACTTGTCAAAGGGGCGTTTCCCCTGGCTCAGCTTACGTGGGAAACATCCCGACCATTACCGGTGACGAGGGTGGGCCCATTGGGTCTCATTGAGACTGAATCTTGACTCTATCGCGCTCAACAGACAGGCTTGAAACCAAATTGAACTCCCGACGAAATGACGATGGAGGTTTCGGCAATGCACCACAAGCAGCCGCTTGAGGATGGAACGTTGGTGACGGCTCCCTAACTTTTCCTCTTGAAGATCAGCCACCTGTCGTCACGTTGGTGGGACAAAAGCCGTACGTACATATACACTAACCAGAGCTATGCTTATTACACCTTAAAACATCATTACAAGTTGATTTATATTGGTGACGATATCACAGCAGCTGCAAACTATGTCCCCAGGGCGTACTACCGTTCGATCAGTGTACATGCTGAGTCGCCTACAGGACCCCGCAGTATCCCATACGTTATACGGGATTAAACTCCATGTTCACTTCGCCCAAGCACTTCTCGTCATTCCCATTAACGAAAGCAAAGGAACCGTCTGGTACGCCACCCGCGAAGAAAGCTCATGGCCGGTGATATGGAAACGAGTTCAAGTCGAGGTCACCTGGCAGCACTTCAGGCCCAACCTACTTGGGCATTTCGAGATCGAAGATTCTGCCATTGACATTCTCGGCAAGTATCTCCCTTTCTCGCGCAATATGAACTGCTTTCTGATTTGGACACTAGCCCGCCTAGCCATGAGGCATGTCAGAGCAACCAAGAACTCGGATTCAGCTCAAGATGAACGCATCATATTTTGTGAAGAGCTTGGCCAGCTTCTTCTCGAAACGGAACCATCTTTGGACGACAGCTCTAGGCCTCTGGACGAGCTATTGAATGACGTTTCCTTGACCACGAAGCAGCGGTTTCCAAGTACTGGGAGCTGCCCCCTCCTATTGACCGCCTTTTCTGACTTCATTCCAGAACAAGAAACGGGTCGCGAAGGGGCCAATTTGTTCGCCTCCTCACTTCCTACGTCAGCGGCAGGTCCTCAACTTTTCACAAAAGGACAAAAGCGGTACGACAAGATTCGAGCTTTACTAATCAGGTGGGAAGAACATACCCTCAGTTTTGGCGAAGTGATAAGAGCGCGGGAAGCCTTCGAATCCTACAATTACGAAGTGGAAGAGTTCCGGATTCCGAAATCCGAGCCCTTGCAGAGCCTGAAAAGCAAGATTCGCGCTTCTGCTGCGGACATCAAGGAGAAGCCGAATCTGAACACACTGTTGATCATTTGGTACTATGGGCATGGCGGTTCATGGCCCGACGGTGAGAATCGCTTGACCCTTGCCAGGTAGGAGTGATATCAGCCCATTCACAAGCCAGCATATTTAATGTTCCTCCAGAGAGAGCGTTCCTGCTAATTGAAAGCCGCAGCCATGAAGAGGGTGGCACATGTGTCCGCTGGAGTGATGTAGCCAAGGCCATTCTCGAAGTCAGGACCGACGTCTTGACCATTCTCGACTGTTGCCATGCTGGAGCTTCGGCGCTCAGTGAAGACCTACTGCGACCCTTCATTGCAAGTAACAAAGACTACGTCAAGTGGGTTTTGAACGCGTCCGGCTTTGAGAATGTCTCAATGACGGGGCATGAGAACGCTCTGGCGTACGCAATCGCTGACATCTTGGACCTCCATCTTCACACAATAGACCTGGACACTGAATTGCTGCATAGACAGGCCACATGTAGGGCGAGGGACACTTACATACCAAAGACTCCCTTAACCTGCACCCCGGGTCTTTTGCGAATGATATCTGGACGTCAGGGGCCAATCATGCCACATCCTTTGCCCGATCCTTTGGCGCCCAGAGGAGAGAAGAGAGCAAGAGCTTCCAGCTCGACTGAGTCTGACGACGAGCCACCGAATACCCGTGCTAGGGTCTCATGATTTCGTGTCGAATTACCGAGTATGGAGTCTGTGGAGCAGAGCCCTGCTGACCGGGCAGAGGGTTGTTTGTTCCTGTCATTTTTTGTTGTTTCTACTGGCTCTGTCGTATTTTGCTGTCCTTCCAATTGGCTACGTTGCCCCGTTATCGCTAATGCTCTTGTCCTTTCTCCGGAGCACCCAGGAGTGTTCATCAGGATATCAGAACGGCGATTTCCTTCCTAGCGAATTTTGATTTTAAACCTCAAGACTAACCAACGATAGTCGTAGTATCCAGATCATGTATAGCACTTGTTTTGATCGAGCAATCAGTAAGGACGTGAATTGTAAATGATAAACGGCAAGCGTGAGGTATTGCTCTACCTGAGGCAGGACTCCACCTGCATCGACGACCGTCCAGCAGGACCGCACTTTCCTGCAGTGTCTCCTTCAGAAGCTCACCCACCGCCTTCCCTTCCGAATACACAGAGGGACGGAAGCTGCAAAGAGCAGGAACGTGCCTTCGCAACCTTTGCCTCAGCAACCCCGCGTCTCTCGTCGACGTCACGTCAAACATCACACACATTGGAAGTATAACCTCGCATCTCCGCGATCAATTCCAAACGCTGCGAGAACAACTACATCCTGTCTTTGATTCACCACTCGCTTGAAAAGACGCTTCAACCCTCGTCCATCTCTTACGCCTGGACGGCCTTCCTGAAAGCCCGGCTCTCGTTACCCTCGACCACCTTGGCGACGGGCGTAAGGTGCGCCTCGTTGTCCTCGTCTGCTCCCTGCAACTGACGAATGTAGGCCTGGGCGACTCTAAGCCAGTTTGCCTTCTCGCCTCTGCTCGCGCCCTGCCCTTCCCACACCCACACGGTACGTCCCGCATCATCCAGAAGGAACACATCCTGGCCATCAAAGTCTGACATCGAGGCCTTGCTGCCGTCCTTAACTAGGTCGAATCTGAGCTCGCCAGATGCGTCGCTCAGCCTGAAGAGCTTCTGGGGCCTCTCGCCCGCGTGGGCCTTGGACGCGGACCTGACAGGTCTGGGGCACTTGAATCCGGACTGGGGGGTGTCGTCGTCACCACCGAGCAAGCCTACGATGACACGGGACCGCGACTCCTCCTGTGTCAACACCTCTACATCGATGTGTTTCGCCAGGGTCATGTCGTTGACGACTTGAGCAGCCTTGGCCTTTTCCATCGGACTACAGCTCTTGCCCTGCCACTGCCAAATCTTGTCGCCAGTGTCCAGCACGAACACGTCTTCGTCATCCAAGCTCTTCCATGTGGGCTCGACTTCGTGCACCACAACGCCACTCGCACCAACGGACGGGTTCTTGAAGATGCGCAGGAGCGTGAGGATTTCTCCCTTGGGCTCATCCTCCTCGACGTGGCGGAATCCTGATCGGACACCACCTGAGCGGATTTGAATTCTGGGGAAAAGTTCCAAGAAGTCATCCGAGGGCGCCGACTGCACCTCACGATGTTGGGTAGCGGCGCCGTGCAGGAACTCATCGAGCTCAACCGTCTTATATGCTGCGGTGCCGGCCTCGTCCTGCGTCGTGTGGGCCCCGAGCCAGAAGAAGATCTCATGGCTTAGCTTCTCAGCATCGTCCTTGGAGCCGACTTTATACGAGTGGAGGACGATGTAGCTGTCGCCGTCCATGAACTGGCCGTACTTTTCCTTCGGCCAAGGGACGACCTCGAATTCCTCGATGCGCCAGATGTGCAGGCCTGCCTCCTGGCCGACCTTTCCGTCGTTCCATGCGGGCTCGGTTGCGGCGGAGTTGTACTTCACGCGATGGTCAATGTCCGAGCCAATGAGCTCGACATTGCTGTCCTTGATGTCGTACTCCTTGAGATGCACGAGACCCTGGTTTGGCGCCATGTTCGATTGGGATTGAAGGAAGCGGTATGTTCGTCTCTTCACAATGTATTGTGTTAGTTTCAATGATTGATGAGATCGTTGCGAGTTGTAAAGAGCAGTTCCAAGATGTTGAGGGCGGACAGGGGACAACGTTTCAACTTCAACGTCATGGCGAACACGGACGGCCAGTGGCTGAGCCCAATCACGGTGGAGTGTGTCTCGTCAGCTGTGCGGGGATCAGCGAATTCAATTGGGCCGACCTCCCTTGCGGCTGTATCTCGAAGCCACAGGAGATCCATCAATAATCAAGGTTACAGCGCCCCGGAAACGCCTCTTCCAAGTCCAATCCTCCAGCGCCAGCCACAGCTTTCTTCAAGTGGTATTGTGGTGTCTTGCACGACACGTCAAGCTGAGTAACAAAAACCTCGCGGGTCGCCAAATTCGCCGACACCGCCTCAATTGAAAGGGGTATTAAATCCCAGCCAGTCTGATTCTGGGTCTGGTACACCAGTGCATCTCATGGGATCGCCTCCTAGCCCGCTCATAGCCTGCGCTTGCAAAATGTTGGTCTGGCCGTTGGTGGCTCTCGTTTGTGGGTCCGACATCTTCGGATAATTGAAGAAGTCGAACACGTCGATGTTGTCCAGCTCGCTTAGCGACGTCACCTGGGTCGATGTGGGCTCCAAGCCAGACCGCCGTGTTGAGGACGTCAAAGTCACCAAATCATGAGCACTCCTGGGAATCACACTGTCAGCAAAGTCCGGGCGCTGGAGGGATGGCGAACACGGGGTACTGACTTTCTCATGGCAGTAAAGTTCATATCGCCTTGACGTCCTCGCTGGACTACTCGAGCAAGGATTTTGGCATAATTATTTGCCACCTCCCAGTATTGGCCGACATGTCTGAGGGTTTCGATGAAGAAATCAATCTTGGGATCAACCGGGCAGCCTACGGTTGCTGCATGGACGAGTAGCAACCGAGCAGCAACCCATAGGGAGAAGGCAAAAGGAGGCCCGAGCAGGTCGAGACCATTAGCCTCGAACACGTCTTGGGCAATATCGCCGAGACTTTGCACGGCCGACAGGCATCGCTGCATTGCATAATGTGACGGGACGAATATGTGAGATCTCACGGTGGGGTACGCAGCCGAGGAATGCAGGCGCACCACCGACGTGACATACGCGCTATGCAGCATGAACCAGTTCGCGACACGGCTGGCTGGATCGGAGTGGCACAGCGCCGAAATCCTGCTGTATTCACTCGGCAGGCTTTGCAGCCAGTTGTCGAGCGCACCATCTAGCGATCTGTATGTGTTGCGCCAGACGGCCATCTCACCCGAGGATGTTACGTCGATGGGTGTTTTCAGAAAATCGTGGACCTTGCTGAGTATCCGGAGAATTTCGCAGTGATACGAGAAGCTCCCCAAGTTGTCCGGCTTGTTGATCGCTGGAGGGGCTGTCGGATCGGAGGATGGGCTCCATGATCTCGTCTCGACTGGCACATTTCGGGAAAACAAGTCGTACGAACACGGAAGGCCGCGCTTCATCTTTTTGTCGTCGAGCATGAATTCGAATGTGGTCGTTGCGATCGTTGCGTATCGATCGAGAAGGTATACCATCCAACACAGTCTCCTCCGGCCCTCATCTTCGATCCACGACTCCGGGCGCCCTGTTGCAACTCTTCGAATCGACCCGGTATGCGGTGTATCTTCGGCCTCGGCCGTGAGGTATACGCTGCTTTCCTCGCACAAGTCAAGCTGTCTCACGTTCTGTGAGAGCAGCGCAAGCATGTTCCAACCACGCGGCCCGTTGGAGGTACCGAGCTCATCCAAGCACAGAATGACCAAAGCTCTTAGCGCTGCGATGCTGACATTCTCCATCGCGTATATCTGGACTCGTCCTTTCGACAAGGCGTGGTAATGAGACCGCATCTCGGGTGATAGTCGCGGATCTTTCATGAACCTCAGTGTCGTTGCTACAATAGCGTGTAACAGAACACGGTCGGCTTCGGTCAGGGAAGTTGAGCCGAAGAAGGCACCGAATGTCGTCTTGCGGTCAAGAATAGGACACCATGTGTTGCAGTGTTTGAAGTACAGGTCGACAAGCGTGTAGAGCATGTCGTGGGGCGGGAACTCTGACACAGTCGACAACGACGATGCATCTTTCCGAGGCCCAGAAATACTAGGAGATGCACCTGTTTGACTGAATGATTCGCCAGCCGAGAGGTTCAGGAGAGCCTGGACTGAGGTTCGGTCACCATTCTGCAGAGCCTCCTGAGCATCGCCACCCTGCCAGAAGGGACTCGAGAAAGCCGGCGTCCTCCCGTTCGCTGTTGGTGCTGACCTTGGAATAGCGGTCGCGGGACTGACGCCATTCCCATCATGATGAAATCCTTCGACCTGAGATGATGCTTGATTACTGATGGCCGGGGACAGGGCCTGGGCGTTGCCGTTGGCGACGTGATCATTGGCGATATGGTCCTCCACTCGGCGACCCAGGGCCTGCAGGAGCGCGTCGAGCCTGTTGACTTTGGCCTCAAGTTCGAGACTGAATCCAATGCGGCTTCCAGGCTTCTGCCTCTCAAGATAGACACACGTGCGGTTGTGTCGAGCGCACCATGAACAGGCGGGTTCTGCGCGATCGCATTTCACCTTTCTCGCCTTGCACAGCTCACATCTGAAGCGCGGTCAGCCAGGTGTTACAGCGTCATCCATCGGCAAGCAAACAACATACGATGTCTTTTGGTGCTTCTCCCTCTTGCGCTTTCTCGGTGGCCCGGCCGAGCCATTGTTGGCTGTCTCATCACCACTCGAGCCTTCGTCGTGACTGAAGACCGAGTTCGCTTCCTCCTCGGCCATTGATTGCGGACGTGCATTTGCATTCGTTCCTATCATGTCTGTCCCATGTTCGTGGGAACTCCACATTTCCCCTTTTTACTCTGACAGAAAGTGAAGTGTTTTGCTCTTATCAGGGCCCTTTTGGATGGAGCCTTGAGGAGCAGGGCCAAATTTGATGTCAGAAAGTGGTCATTTCACTAGGCGATGCGGGCGTGCAGCGAGCAGTAAAAGGCAGGCTAACGAATTGCCTCAGCCGGCCGGGATGGTGGAGGATGCGCCGCAGCAGCTGGGTGCGCATATGGGGATAATCC